GCTTGTAGAACAAGATCATATAGAGAGAATTGAATTTTGTGACCCGGTTTCCTATATGACCCGGTTCACCATAAGTTACGTTATCTCATTTTATTATTATTTTCGATGTAAGAGTCTAGACTACTAGTAAGTATATAGACTCACGAGATAATATAATAGAAAAGTATAATTTCATACTTAAATTTATTAACTTTAAATTTTAATTAAAATTCAATTAAAATTCAATTGAAATTTAATATATAATTTAATATTAATTAAATTAATATATTATATTTTTAAATACTTAAAAATAATGATTTAAGATTTATTTCGAAGAAATCAAATCTAAGCTTAAAAAATAAATAGTATGTTTTCTTATTATAATTTTCAATAAATAATTATATATTCTTTTATAAAAACATTAATATTAATTTTCTTAACTTAATTCTAATAATTTATAGTATTTATATAGTTAAAACTTATACAATTTTTTTTCTCAAAGAGACTTATTGAAATTCTGAATTTTAATTAAATTATTAAAACAGCTCTTTTTAATGTGAAATTGTAAGATCTTACTTTTCCTCTCGAGTATTCTATGAGTTTATACACCTACTAGTAGGCCTCAGCTTATCGAATAGTAAGCGAAAACACATTAAAAATCCTTAATTCTTCAACTTTTAGACTATATATTAATGTAATTAAATCTACAAAAATAATAAAATATAATTGAAAATTATTGAAATGATTAAAAAAAATGAACGAAATATTCTTGATATTTTTTTGAATAAAGTTATAGGTTTTTAAAGTTGAAATTTTTGAAAAACTTAAAAAAAAAGTTATTTTTTTATATGAAAAAAGCATTACATACTATAAATTTTGAAAAGTTTTAATCTTAAAAACCTACAACTTTATTAATTTTTGATTCTTTAAAAAACTGTTTATTTCTAAGAATTTTCTTATAATTATTTCTAATATATATAATTTTCAAATCAATTCTTCAATTTGTTAAGAAGTTATAAGAATAATTAATTCGTATATGAAAACAACATTTTTACTAAGATTTTCTTTTGGTGGATGAGCAATTTTATTTTGATCTCGAGAGTTGGGAGTTTGAGGTGGAATTGGAATTGAAAGTAAAGATCTTGAGGTTAAGGATTAAGAGTTGAGAGTTGAGAGTTCTATGGCGATGGATTTCGAGGGGAGATGGAAGAGATTATAGAGGATAGAGAACTAAAGAGGAGATCGGATTGCAGAGGGAATGGGAAGGGAAGGGTATGGAGATTAGAGAGAAGATTGAAGAGGAGATAGCTATGAGGATGAAAATGAAGGGTGCGGATGAGAACTTGATATAGTGTAATGTATGATAGTCAGTATACATATTGAAAGTATACGATCACCTGACAAGAAGAGAAAGGCATTTTCTGAATTTGGATTCGAATTTGAATTTATACTTGGAGTTTGATTTTAATTTGGATTTGTACTTGATTTGGATTTAGGCTGTGTAACGGGTACCCGCAGGGCGGATAATGGCCTCGACAGATAATCCGTAGATAATTCGTCTGTGAAGTGAATAATTTAGAATCTGAACGAGTAACCTATAAAATAGATACAAATTACCCACAGATATCTACCTACTTATATATTATATAATTATTCATAATCTTTTATAATATTTATATAATTTTATAATTAATATAAAAATTAATATAAATCTAAGCTTGGATCACTTTTGGACTGGAAAATAATCTGGGAATAGTTTCATATTTTAAGCGAATCTCTGCTTTTTTCGGAGAATCTATATATCCACGGATTATTTACAGATAATCCGCAAATTATCCGCAGATAACCTATATATCCGCGGATAATCCATGGGTACAGATAATTTGTGCGCAGCCTATTTGGATTTGAATTTGATGATTTATATTCTTATATGGGGAAGAATTAGAGAGAACATTTAGAAATAAGAAAATCTATTGTAAACTTGTATTGGATTGTGGGTCGCGGGATGCTTAGTTTAATACTTTGATCATTTTGTGGAGATTGTATCTGAGGAAGGGTGAATGGCTTCTTGTTGATAATTCTTTGATTTCTTTTCTTCTTTTCTTGGGTTAGGTTTGAGAGATGGTGAATAGTTTTTCGAATGATCTCGCTCTCGGTTTTGGGAGTAGGATGAAGTGCTAAATGAAGGATTTAGCTACTTTTGGTCGAAACTGATTCAGTGCGAAGAGAAAGAAAAGTAAATGGGAGAGGAACAGTAGGCGAAGAGTGATGTGTGGAAGATTGGGAGGGATGAGAGAAAGGGGTAAGGAAGCATTTAAAGCGGGTTTTGCTTCGCTAAGAGTAATGTAGGGATGAAGAATTTGTATATCAGATATTATGAATATGTGGACTCTTATTTCGTTGGATTTATATTGATTGTATTTTACTCGGTTAAGAGAAATTTTGAGATTATGATACGTCGCTGGTTTATAATATAGCTAGATGTATCAACCATAGTGTCTTTACGCTATGTATATTCTTGTATTTATTTGGAATATTTAATAATCTACGGCTCGAGTTCACAGATCAATAGTACGGCCAGACGTATCAACCGGACAATCTCGCGATACTTGTATGCTCTTGAAGCAATGAATGAATTACGGCTCGCATTTAGCAATACCTCGCAATCACAGCATCATACTACACTTATATGCCGTACTGTAGCACATATCCTTAAAAATTTCTTTGAAAAGGTGTTCTTTGGGTTTTAATTCTGCCAGAGAACAAAATTAGTCACTCAAACCTCTCATACCCTCTTATATTCACTTATTTAATCATTTAAAATAGTTATAATAAATTGAAAATTATACTTATATACTGAGAATTCGAATTTCTTTTATCTAAAAACATACATATATTATATACATATTTCACTTTCTATAATTTTCATGAATTTTATATTAGAATCAATAACGTAGTTTATCATCGAATAAACTATATCATCGAGTGAATTATTATAAACATATACAAAATTCATTTTTATATAACCGTATACTTTCTTTATTTAATAATATTATTTTATAAAATTTGAAATTATAAAATCTAATTATATAAATATTATAGAAATCTAATTTGCTTTTCAAAATTCTAATTAATATAGGAGTGTTACGACGGCATCCAACATACCACATCACATAACATAAATTACACGTGATAAAGCGTCAAGAAGCTTCAGCGCTTTTGGAGCATATTGTGATCCTTAATGATCCAATATATTGGAGAGGTTCTAGGGATTAGGATAGAGAATGAAGGTCTATATAAAAAAATGGGTTTTATTATAATGTAAAGCTTAGTGCTCAAGAATAATTATTAGTTTTATTATTATAGTTATAAGAATTGTAATCAATTATAACCTTATTGAATTCCTACTTGAAGTTTAGTTTAAACCATCTCGAGAGAACTCTAGACACTTCCACGTGACCCTAGAGGCAGCTCCCGTAACAAGGAGTTATTATTAAAATAATATTTTTGTAACGAAAATCGTAACAATTTATGATTTTTATAAAATATAATATTAATTCTCATATAAAAACTAAATATTTGTATAAGAAATCTTTTCTTATTGATAAATCTTTTTTCTTTTTTAAAAAATATTAATTAATCATTAAAATATAAATATTAGGAAAAGGCTAATTTTAATGTATTTTGAAATGGCCCATTTAATGATATAGTCCATTTGATGATAAACCACGTTATACAAACAGGAAAATGAAAAATAGGAATTAGCACTTTTCAAACCCAAAAAACACTACCGCGGAATCTTTATAACATAAAAAGGCAGAAAATCGGTGGATTTTAACAGGAATTAATATCCAAACGAGCCCTTATTCGAGTTTGTTAGTTTCGATAAGGAATACTAATGAAATCTCACAGGGATGATTCATGTTCTCTAACAAGGAAATATTCGGATGCTTGGAGAGATGATTGATATTTTCTGTATTACTCGCCTGGGTGTACTTTCCATGCCTAATGCCACTACCGATAGTTAAAAATCGTAGGGAGGGAAGAGAGATAAGGACTCAGGGTTTGTAGTTCTCCAACCATTAACAAGAAATTCGATGTAAGAGAAACATTGGACGGAGTTTGTAGAGATGGGTTCTAGAGCTGGATATAAGAACTAGAATAGTGATGATGGGGGTCGTGTTGAGATATATTGGCGGGGAAGGAGATCGAATGTGGTGAAGTGATGGATTACCATGATCGAGTGGGAGCAGGGACTTGAAGATATGAGTGCTATGGTTACCTAGGTAAGAGTTCTGGTTACATTTTGTATTATAGAGCATGAAAATTTAAAGACGTGTTATAAATTGGAAGTGGAAGGAAAGGAATACACTGTGAAGCTCGAGTGAGTTCAGGTTATGGAAGAAACTTATATGGAATGATTGGATTTGATTGGAAAGGTATGCCTGGATCAAAGGTAGAAACGAGTCACTGGGATGAGTGAGAGAACTGATTTAAAGTGAAAATTAGGATAAGCTTGAAAATTGATTGTGAGCTTGATGTGAAGCTAGAAAATATCCGACGCTGCGCTGCATACTCGGCAAGAGGAATGTGTGGTGGGGTGGTAAGCAGCACACCACGTCTAAATTGATTGATTGATTTTACTCAGATATGAAGTATCAATGCGAATGCTATCAAAATCTGTTCCACGTAAAGATGATGAGGTGTAAGTTGGGGCATTGGATCAATTGATGTACTGAAAACATGGTTGTGAAACCGACTAGCTAATGTATCTATATACAAGAATGTCGAGAGAAGTGAAGAGATCAAACTCATCTTTGACTGGAAACAAAACCGCGTTATCTCAAAAGATGTGATCAGAAGAAAAGAAATCGGCAAGAACTAGGATTGAAATCACAGAAATGAGGTCTGAATAGTTGACAAGGCTGTGGCATGCGAGTTTCCAAGAGGATGTGGAGCTGACTCGCATGCTTGGCACAAGCATGAATTTGAAGGGATCCCTGATGAATGGCGCAAAGAACTCAACGTGCCTCGGTAACAAGCTCTTCATCGTCTTCAAAGATGTTTGGAGGAACTTCTTGGCCACCGGGTAAGCCGAGACGTATTCTTTCATCTCGAGACTCGTGCAGAGTCCACATTTCGGTAGTTGGTGAATATGTTTGAAGTTCGTAAACTTCATCGCTCGATGCTTGTATGTCATTCTCTGTGGTCGAGATTTCTGCCGCACGTTGACTTTCAAGCTGGGGAGAGCTATACTGTTCAGTTGGATCTTCCTCAATGGTAAGTTGATTGTCGTAGTGTGATGTCATTGCGCAGTCATGTGAGAAGTAGCCCAAGTGACGACAAGTATATTGAGAACTAGGTTCATGGGTTTCAGCTTCCAATTCATGCAAGTCATTTTCTGACATATAGCCAGCATCGTGGCTGGAGCCACCAAAGCTAGCTACATTGCTTGCGAAAGATCCTTCTTGTTGTGGATGAGGACCTGCGGGAGATTCTGTATAGGAATGGGGAGATCCTTCTTTTTTTGGGCTAACAGAATTGCGAGATTGACTGAGATCAGGGTTATGGTGGTAATGCTGATGATGAGATTCACTCTCAGTACTTATGAAAGTCAGTAAGATAGTCACCAACAAGTGATGTTATCTGTGGTACCACATACCTAGATTCGGATTCTTTCCGAGCCTGCTTATGAGATGATGCGGGGTTTGAAGACATCCTGTAAGAAGTATTATGCGAGATTCTATGCTTGATGATGAAGCTGATCACAAGAATGAAGAGGAAATGAGCCAGATAATCGGGTAGTCCGAGTCTAATGCGGATAACAGTGACCTAAGTAACAATCTTTTCAGATCTCGATTACATTTATTACGCAGTGGAAATGCAATGGAGAAAACCAAGAAACTTTATACACAACCGCTGATAACCCTTTCTCTAGGAGATCTAAGAAAAGCACAACAAAGCATCGTTCCAAGTGGCAGGTAGAATATTCACGATGCAAGACGCAGGGGAAACGGCCCGACGGTACGGCTATGTAAGCTTGTTCTTCAATTGAGTGAAGGCATTCGAAAGTATGGCCCCATTGTAAGCTAGTTAATTTCAAGTTTATGAATAAATATGAGGCTATGAAGTTAGATAACCAGACACCACACGAACAAGGGCGTATGATTGGATATGGGAAGGGCGCTCTGTTCAACATTTCCAGCAATGGCGGTAGAGATTTGTTTTTAGAGACATCCAGCATGCAGAGAAATGGATACTTCCATCAGGGGAATACTGAATTGGCAGATGTAAGTGCTGATTCCCTTGAAGACTTTCAATGAGTATCGGCTATGCACCTCGACTAAGCAACTCAGGGGAGCAGTAGAAAGTGACCTCGTCATATCACGAGCTTTACGAGGAACGGTTTGCTGGGCAGCTTTGAAATCAATTCTCCGTACTTTAACCATGCAAATTTGGCCAGATGTCGTGGAAGGCAGGTCATGAGCGGCCCGTTTCAGACCCGCTGTACTTACTCGCAGACAGCCATTATCGTAAATGTATAGAGGAGGCTAATACCATTAGCCCCTGCTTTCTTTGACCTTATTGGATGCCTGAATGGTATCTCTGGGAGCTTCAAAAGATCTAGAGCGATGAAGAGAAATGAGGCAGCAAGGGATTCGTACCTTGTACAGTCGGGATTGAAAGGTGATGAGAACCTGAAACGGTATGATTAATACATGTCACTTTGTAGATACCTTTATCCTTGAAATAGTATTCTGCTTCAACGACCGATATGATTTACTAGTTGAATAGTGCTGAATGTCTATTTTTTGATGTTTCAAATGTTTGGGGGACGTTGGGGGACGACGGGTGGGTCACTAAGCCGTTCATACTAAATCTGCTTATGTAATACAAATTCCCATTCATGAACTTCCAGGTTTAAAATCAAGTTGAATTTGTCTACACCTAGATCAACTTTACCAGCTCATTACTTCGTGAGACGAGACATCTCGACCTGAGCCTTCCCATCAAGATATATTGTCAATTGAAAATCTAGCAACTTTCCTGGACGGTAAGTCGCAGCATCGACGAACAGTTCTCTGTTCACGACATGACCATCACTGCGCATTTCCGAACACTCGTACCAACAGTTCATAAACTCTACAGATTGAAATCCACTCATACTTCACTAGTCATTATCCAATTATAGTCTTGCTGCAAAGCAAATGCACTCACTTACATCAAGATTCATGATTGGACGCAGTGAAGTCAAGAGCCGTTGAAATGCTCGTGGCTTGAGCATGATTTACTTGAGCCTCGTGCAGGGTCTCTAGGTCTTACTGTACCGTTCGCCAATCCCAATCTCAAAATATCTGATAAGTGATAGATATGCACTAGGTAGTCAGCTGAGCAAATAAAGATTCAAAGGTTCCAGACTCTGTTATTTCAGTAATTTCGAGCTCACTTTTGAGAAGCAATGATGAGGCTCAAGCTTCTTCCGCAGTTTGGGGTTCGATTTGTTTGGGACATTGCTCTCTTACTACAACATGAGCCAACACTTCACTGATTATATTGCATACCCAAGTATGCAGCTGCGTCAGCACTGACATCACATACCTAGTATTATGGCTTTCCCTAGACTCGGCTCCAGATTCATGTGCAATATGTGCTAAATCAGAGGAGAGCAAGATATTACCTACATTCTTCTCCTTTCGGGTGCTTTTCCCATGAAGGACTATGAAGCGGATAACTGCACTTGACAGATTTCCTCGTAAGGTTTCTCAAGCACAAAGTACTAAAGAGTGCGGATACGTGCGTTTTGGAGCGCACACATTCAATGCGTTCCACATATTGCCTGCTGTGTACATACAATCTTCAAAATCAGCATGACAGTATGTTCTTGTCTGGCGTACAAGATGATGCGCATGAAACCATATCGTCGTCATATTTCCACAGCATACAGCCCGGAACAGCTTCCGGATGAGTCTCGCAAATAGGAATTCAATCTCACACACTATAATTTCTAGTTTGCTTACTGTTGGGTACAGGAATTGTTATCGTGGGAGCAACATGAACAGTTTTTCCTAGTCGTTGGTTCTCCTAATTACATCCTCTCTGATTAATCTTCAATGACCGACTTGTTCTCATACAATACTCGCTACAAGCAACAGACTCAGATACACAAACTATTCGTAAGAGAGAAAAAAGGCTGAGTTTGACCCCAATCTTAAAGGTCGAGGGTCTTTCCGGCTTTTGTCAGACCCTCTTTTATGCCAGGTGAGGGTTCTGGTGTGTGTGATATGGATAGGTTTGTCTCGATTGTTTAAAATTATTGAATATCTGGAAATGGCTGGGATTGGGTTTGTTGTAGAATATTAACGAGGTGTTAAACCCAATCTCAGTCATTTCCTGTTATATGCATTAGAACTCTCATTTGGTATTCTAGGGGGTCTCCCAAAGACCTGAACAATATCTAGATTGGGTTTAACTATTTCTTAACACCTGCAATGATCTAAGCTTTATTCGTTTTATTTGTGAGTGATTAATAATTCAATTAATTCAAATAGTCTGGTAGGACAAATTCGGCCCCTTTTTCCTCCTGCGTAGTGACAAGTCATCAACCTTTCCCCCCGGCTTTCAAACACCATAAAACGAAGTCTGTTCCAATCATCCTCCTTCATCGCTTAATAACAACAATATCAATGGTAACAAAAAAAATCAGACATACCCCTTTCAAAGAAATAAGAGCAAAGAAACTCTAGACTCAAAAGCTCCACTAACTTCTTTGTTTGATCTCGCAGAGCTGCCCCACCTGTCCATCGATCAGGTAGTTGTTAAATCACCTTACAGTAGATAAATCATCAATTAATTCAGTCCATGCTGGATGTATTAAGCCACTACCTTGAAATTTGGAGATTTTATAATGACTTTGCTAAGTTGTATTTCCTATGCTACTTGAACTACCTCGAACATCATGTTTCCAGATGATTTGACAGTATATATTGATTCCCCAGTACGAACTAATGTAATCGTAATACTATCAAACATTTCACGACCTTGTAGTCTGCAAGAAGAGAAGTGCTTGAACTCGAAAAACAAAATAATGCAATCTTTCATATACCCTTGAAACAAGCTCTGCACCGTGGATGCTAGACTATTCATTCTATTCTCTCTACATATACTATATACTTATTCACAACTCCACCCCTGACATCTCATTCATCTTACTCATCATTTTGTCATTATCACATTTTGTATGAGGTTTCTGAAAATCCAAAATCCAAAATTCATTCTATATTTTTGTACTGTGTGATCTTGCCAACCTTTTGTATTTACGCTAAAGAGTCTCCAACTAGCCGATATCTTTTTTTAAAGCAAATAAGAAGAAATCATGGCTCGTTAACAACTTACTGAAGATAAACAATGGGACAAATAGTAAAACAAAAAGTCATAAAGCATAATTCGTTACCTTATACCCAGTTTGTTTGCATTTCTTACCTTTTCCTTACTTCCTATCCAAAAAGGAAATCCACCTACCTTTTCTCTCTCCACCAAAGACCTCTGTCAAGGGTTTCCATCTTCTTTCCTCCTCTTCTCAAGCACTGCTACCAGAGCAATCACCCAATCTGAAACTCGCCAGCTCCGTTCCTTCGAAAACTCTCCCGGAGCATCTTCTTCTCTTCTTGTCCTCCTTCAAAAATTCCGTCAACTTCAAATCCGGCACGCTGCACCATTCCCATGTAGCCAAACTCGGACACCAATTTAGATTTGCGGATGCAGCTGAGCTAAGTGTAAAAGATGAAGAAATGGGGATGCGGGAAACGGTAGGAAAAAGGAGAGTTTGGAGGGTGAGCGTGGGGCTCGGTTGAATCGGGGATTTGGAGGAGCCTGGGAGTTCGGCGGGAGATTCGGGAGTGGTTGGGAGCTCAATCAGAGTCGGAGGATCGATTTCTGATGGAAAGTCCTCGCAGACCTCGAGATCTGAATGTTCCTCTGGTGCTGGGAGCTCCAGGATTTGCGCTGCTGTCATCCAGCCTGTGCAATCATCAGAGGATAATGACATCGGTGAGGTGTCGAGCGAAGGAGTCGCTGAAGATGAAGATGAAGCGAGAAGTTTGACTACGTGGAACTTTTCTTCATCCGAAGCGCTCCAGCTTTCAGTCGATCTCGATGATCGTTGTGATGTTGTTCGCTTTGGAACATTGGCCTGGAGGGTTTCGGCTAATGCTGTGGATGCATCTGCGAGGTTGATTGCGAGTTCAACATTCTTTTCAAGCATGGCAACCTTCTTGGATTCTTCAGCTGAGTGTTTGAGTGCAATCTGGAGTTCATTTTCAAGAAACTCAACCTTTTCTGATTCTCTTTCGAATAACATCTTGTAGTGGTCTGCAAAAGCTTTTTGTTGACTTGGAGCGGCACGGGCCGCGCGGAACTTTTGCACCTCTTCTTCAAGTTTTTCGTTCTTGTCTTTGAGTTGTTGAATCTCTTCTTCAAGTTGGCGGTCCATGTTTTCGACTTCTCTGACTGCTTTAGTGAGCTTGATATAGGCCTTGTGTGTTTTCTCCGCGTAGATTTTCCAAGCCTGCGTTTCGCTCAAAGTTGCTCGTGCTTCTTTGGTGAACACAGGGGGTGCTCTGACTGAACGATGTGGTTGAATTGAAGGATCGACTATCCTACCTTCTACAGTAGTCGCTGTCAATATAGGAAGCTTGAAAATGAGACTTGGTGATTCGAGCTCACTTACGTTGAACGGATTCGAGCTGAGTGGAAGGCATGGCATTCTAGGAGCTACTGGCAACTCATGATATCTGGCCATCTGAACCGGTTGGCCATCAACAATCTTTGCGACATTGAAGGGTTCAGATACTATCATTTGTCTGATCTCAGTTGAACTACGTCCTCGGAAAGTCATTATAGTAGTTCTGATCGGAGTGGGTATTCTGCGCATTATTTTCCTCTTCATGACAACTATACGTCTTGTGTGTTGATGTTGAAGCCAAAAGTATTTCTGGAGACGATTTTTGGTTGCCGAAATTGACCCGGTGTGTCTAAATTCTCTAAGATCAAGATATATTGAGGCGCGTGGAGAATCTGATATGGGATATCGACATTCCGGTGCCGAGCTACTTGTCGCCTGCGACATATATTGTGGCACGAAAGTATTGATTCTAAGGCTCTCTACTCCTGATATACGTCTAACCATTCTTGGGCAAAATGATTCATCCATGATATTAGTTTCGCCTACCTAATGTCTTGTGTTTTTGTGAGAAAGGTGATCAAGATTCTTCAAGACTTTATAGTTATCACTTACTATCAAGATGGGTTATTTGGAATGGCTGTTGAGAGATGCGGATGGAGAGGTATTCTGGATAATTTGGGAGTAACCGCAAGAAAGCATTATGTATAGTCGTGAATTTTGGCTGTTCAGCCTCTGTTCCGAAAAGCACGATTATCAAAATTTGTATTGCGTTGCCAAACAAAGATAATGAGGGAACAATGTGAACAAAGAAACCTACCAAGTGTCTCAAAACCCAACGAAGAAAAATCTAGAGGACAATTTTGCAGAGGAAATCGGGAAAGCTCATGTAATAACATTTAGCTCTATATTATTTCTAACTCGCAGCTAGATTGTAGACTTAATGGCATAGTCGCATTAGAAATCATTGAATCTAGTTTGATCAGCAAAGACATGATTGGTTCGAATAGCAATATCAGTAACTACATCAATAGTAGTTACTTCCACCCCGAGAAATTGAGGGGGTTCCAAGCCCCGACTCACGACTAAAGGGAAGGTTTGAGCCAGATCTCTGCGCTACTATGGGAAAATTAGCATAACCTTCAAAAAGTGTTCATGACAGATATACCTGATCGACCACTTGGTCTAGAAAATTCTGGTGCTAAAGATGCTCCTGGGTTTCCCACTTTTAGACCTGCTCGCATACCGTAGCCTACAAAACCGGACGGTTGACCAGCATTACCATTGATACTTGACAATGGAGTTTGACGAGGAGTAGCTCGACCATGTGATAATGGTAAAGGAGTTCCAGCCATGTGGCTTTGTATGTTGTTCAAGCCGATGCTTGCAGGAGGAAAATTGCTGGATGCCAAAGGCTGTCGATGAGAAGAAGGAGTCGCCTGAACATGGTTATCTGTAACATTTTTCGTAAGTAATTCATGATTAATTTAGAGTAATGACAAAATGCTTTCTTACATTTCTGAGACACATGACTTTGCCCTTGGCTACCAATGGTATCCCACTCGCTACTATGTCGTCTTCTTTGAGGTGGGGGCGGCATGTTTGAGTCGTGAATACCGCCAGTACGATTAAGTCCACCTGTCTGTTGATTCGCATAAAGAGGTTGCCTGTATTCATTTGTGCCTGGATTGTCTGTAAAGCGATTGCCATTTGACGTTGCTTGTAATGTATCATCAACTGCATTCGAAGCCGCAGTCTGGACTTGATCCAACATTCCTCTACGCTTTATTTTATCGTAAAGTTCCTGGGTCTGGAGTAACTTTTTATTTCTCTCTTTGAGATCATGATGGAGCTCTTCGTTCTTCCTTCTCAAAGCATCATTATCCGAATTCATTCCTACATTAGTGTTTAGTATTTATTTGGGAATAGAGGAAACCATATAGAATCCCACCCTGCATTTTGTTACGAAGGTTCGATATCTCGCTGTTTGCATCATGTATTATCTTGTCCATCTGAAAATTCAGCGTTGAATACTTGTCTGTTAAACTTTTGGCAAGGTATTCTTGATAAACACTTTAACTTCGTCAGTAAAGCTTATAGCATTAGACTTCAGGTACAAACATCTCTTGAGTTGTTTGATATGCCCAAAAGCTTAAGGCTCGGCCTGCACACTCCATGATGACACTTGGATTGAGTCCACTCAACACGCTCGTCTTATAGTCCTCACTCGGGTTCAGATTTGTGATAACAATATCGTCGGGATTTGGTAAGTGCATATCGCACGCGGGACATGTTGTTTGTCGATTCTCCCGTAGGCCTGCTGAAAGCTGGGATTGATTTGCACACTCGATGCAAAAAACATGACTATAAAGAATGAGTAATGAAAATTAAGAGTGAAATTGTGATTATGAAATATGAGACGGGAAATCGTTGAAAGACGAACCTGCAGGTAGTAACCACTGCATGATCTTTCAACTCTTTCCTGCATTTCAATGCATTGCAGCGAAGAATAAACTCCATTTTCTTTGTGCATACACTGTCACCGAACGAGGCTCCTTCTCAGAGCTGCTCTCTTCTTCGTCACCCACATCAAATGCCCATTGCCGTCTTGATAATTGTAGTTCTTGATCTTCAATTAGAAGCAGCACTCGATGAAACAAATTGTCCGGTTCTAATACAACTAAGACTTGGTGGATAGAATTGATGGAAGTGATATTTTGAGTTTGAAGAAGACGGCCCGTGCCGAACGGGGGGGAAGAGTTAAAGACAGTAAGTGAAATGTTATTATGGGCGGTCAAGAGTGGCATAAAACTTTACCCCACAATTTCTGTAAGCGATCTGTGATAAGGTTAATAAGAGGTTAATAAGTGATCCACACAACAAACGTTCGAAAATAGATTTCGTGTTCGATGTCATAATGTGATAGAGCAGTATACTTATAGTATCTGGCCATAACGTATGCTTATACTTGCTTTTACCAGGAAGATATACTACTTTAGAAGCTGATATCATGCCAAGTCTCTCACCGACGCCCTGGTGCATGCAACATGAACATGGTATCATCTTGGTACATCTTCATCCGGGGTACATCCGGTGTGCATGGGAATAGTTTCTCCGTGAAACCCTTGTACAGGCTATCAGAAGTGACATCTAGGGATGGACGAATGGTGGGATGGACGCATATCTTACGACAAGTTCAAATTCTTCCACTTAAAGAGTACCAATCAAGTATGGAGATTCATCTTCGAGTTACAACCTCTGGGTATTTGGTCGGCAAGTCAATATACATTTAGCAAAAAGGGAATTCTTCAATGACCTCAACTGGCTGCGGGGATGATTTGATCTTAGTAGTGGATGATCTTTTTGTATGATTCTACACCTGGTGCTTGTATTGAGATCATTGCCTCCCATTTTTACAAACCCATGATTGGCAAATCATTTATCTCAATAGAAATTATAGTGCAGATGCCAAGGTTTTCCAAATAGCATAAGTTCACCAAATCTGTCAAGCATGTCTCCCATTTGATTGAAAGAAACTTGTCGCTGTTTTGGACTCTAGAGACTAGTTCCAATAGTACTGCAAGATGCGGTTGCAACATGGTCGTTGTTTGCTGGCCGTTCTGTCCACAAGTATTCTTCTTCCATCATCCGTCCTGGGAATCAATTCCACTTCCCCTACTGTGACCGTCACCAATGGTTCATATGTTGGGAAATATGTTCCTGAATGGCAGCAAGACCAATTTCTGGGGATACCCTATGCTATTCCACCCTTAGGAGACCTCAGATTTGCTAGACCAAGATCCTTAAACACTTCGTTCACTGGATATCGAGATGCAACACATTATGGTCATAGCTGTTACCAATATGGCACAACTTTTAATCTTTCTGAGGATTGTCTCACTCTCAATGGTATATTCATCAGTCAAGAACACGCTGGATCATTGCTAAATGTTACACAATCCAGTGATAAGGCCTGCAGGAACTACGCCTAAGAGCAAATTGCCTGTCTTGATTTGGATATTCGGGGGTGGATTCTATACTGGAGCCACAGCAGATCCCCAGTCAGTATTCTAAGGGTATTTCAGATGTTAAATACAATTCTAATACTTCTCAGGTACAATCTTTCTGGCATCACACATGTTGGACAACAGACTGGGAAACCTATTATTACAGGTAATCTCGATTCGCTTTTTTGTTCAAAGCATTTCTAATTTTAGTAGTGTCCATGGACTATCGTCTTGGAGTATGGGGCTTTCTCCAGACACCTCAAGTCCTTGCTGAAGGTGGCTCTAATGCTGGGCTCCTTGATCAAAGGTTAGCATTGAGATGGATAAAGGAGAATATCGAATCTTTCGGCGGAGACCCGAAAAAGATTACGGTCTGGGGAGAATCCGCTGGCGGTCAAAGCATTAGTTATCATCTGTACTCTTACGACGGCAGAAATGACGATTTGTTCCAAGCAGCAATAATCGAATCCGGAAGTCCCACTGGAGCTAGTCTGTATGAAATCATCTTCTTTCAAATCCAGGCCCTTCTGCTTTAGCTCGAGTTTTGACCAGTTATAGGAACCCTCTCGGTTACTATACGGTACCAACCGAGAATCTGACTCGCGCCACCGGTTGCTGGACATCTACAAATAAACTCGCTTGTCTACGAAGTCTGACTTCGGATCAGCTATGGAAAGCACGAGTCAGCCAACAATGGAATCCCATGGCAAGTGACACCCTTTCTTTACTTAGATATTAACAATTCCAAGCCAACATCGATAATCTTGCATTGAAATATTTTCAAACAACACTAACTTTACTTTAGGTCGATGGTGATTTCCTGACTGACTATCCCAGTAGCCTCACACCCCAAGGAAAGTTCATCAAGGTCCCTCTACTGATTGGAGCGAATAGCGATGAAGGAAGCAGTTTTGGTGTTTCCGGACTGGATAACGAGACAGCTATTTTCAACAATTTACTCGTATACCGGGCTTCGAATGCTTATGCCCTATCGCCGCCAACTGCTAGAAAGTTGCTTGAGCTGTATCCTGTATGTTGACGGAAGTGATTGATCAAGGACCCGATAGCAATACTAACATCAACAGAATGATCCTGCAAATGAACCTCCATATTATATTACCAGCGCGACAATCTTCCCGTCCAACGGACTACAGTATGTTAGCCTGAGACGTTAATCCTTTTGGCTGAATTTATACTAATGCAAGAACTAGATGGAGACGTAGTGCCGCTATCGCAGGCGATCTAGTTATGATATCCGGTCGTCGAAAGGTAAACATACATTCCTGTCCATCCTATTTTCTCTTTAGTACCAGCTTCTAACTCGAGGCTGCTTATCTAGCTATGCGAGATCTACGCCGCTGCCTCTCAATCAGTATATAGCTATCGCTGTAAGTCTTACACACTCAGCCTACACCTTTCCTCCCACATGATAACATTGCAAACTAACCTTCTTTCTACCTACCAGTTGATACATTTCTCTGGAATGCTGCGGTCACCGATGGAGCAAGACATTGTACGACTCCC